CCTGCTTTGTTTGTAACTCACACAGTCGCGCCTGCTAAGACAAACTTGGAATGCGTAGGCATTGTTTTCATTTTCTTCCGTCGTTTCGCTTTTTCTCATGATCGTTCTGCAGAAGCCTTCGTTGTGCTTTTCATCATCAGCAGCGAGTGTAACGTTTTGCTTGTGAGCAGCGACCATTACTGCTGATTGTTGTTTGCCATAGCTCTAACTCTCAGAGCGTGACAAAACGATCTGTCAGCGATAGTCGGTTGATGCGAAGACGAGTGTCACGTGAGTGTCATGATATTTTGCATCACTGGCTGGTTGCAGGTAAAGGTGGAATACGAGCTCTGGTGCCGGACATCCATAAATATTAACAAGAATTTTGAGGCATTTGGGCTGCTTGATAAATGTGACTCGACGTATTTTCCAACAATCAATGTGTTGTTGAAGATTTTGTTGACACTACCGGTCACTACAGCCAGTGTGGAAAGATCTTTCTCCACATTGAAACGAATTAAAACTAATGGGAAACCAGCGACTTTCGGGCTTGGCTATAATATCAATTAACTGCTTAGAGTAAAGCTAGAAGATTACTTTTGTAATAACCAGGTATAATGTCCAGGATATGGCTCTACGTTGTGTTTAATTTGTTGCTCAGATTTTTGGACAGCAGTTTGGAGATCGGCAACTGATTCAAATGAAGTAAAAGAATACATTTCTCATTCACTATTTATTACCTCTTTCAGGCAGCACCCTGATCGGAAGTCAAATTCAAACTTAATCTAATTGCATTAAATATTTGCACTTATATAGCTTACTGGAACAATACAAAATATCACAGAATAACGATCAATTCAAAAACAAAACAAAAATACAGTGATGCTAAAACAAAAACTTAAAAACATACAGAATGATGAAGGCAACAATATTCGCTGTTCGAGTTTCGTATGGATCACATTGCTACCACTGCATAGAGGGATGTTTGTTATTTACCGCCTTCATAAATTTACATGAATTAGCATCCGGCGCCGGTGGTTTTACGATTCAACACCATTAAAATCTTAAAATAATTATGTTTTAAAAAATATGTAACAAATTTTTGCCTTTCTCAACAGAATGTTGATCATCATTACCAACAGAAAACAATTAAAACTACAAATATTTTCTAGAATTTCATACATTTGTTTAACTTTTCTCATAACTGCGTATTAAAGAGTTAGAAAAATTATTATTTTACATTCTGATGGTTCATTAAAAATTCCGATCAAAGATTAAAATGAATTAACAAAAAAAAAAAAAAATGACGACACATGATTTTGAACGATTTTGGTTAAGGTAAAAAAAAACAGTGTATCAATCGATGTTCAGTTAGGCGCACATTTTATAAATCATTGAAGTTTTCATGTCATAAAATTAGCTCCCCCTGAAACCAAATGCTGGCTATGGGCCTGGCTGCATGCATGAATTTGGAAGATCTTTAAACTCCCCTTTAAACATTGATCTTCTGTGTAGCTTTTTAATGTTTTAAAGTACATTCCCTGAAGTTTTTTTTTACTATCCTTAAATTTTTGAAACTTCTTGATGGTTTCCTCTATTTTACTGAAATAAATGGAACTGCCATAAAGTTCTCGAAACGAACTTATAGTTTTAGGAACATCCCTCAGATTCTCACAGTTTTCCTGATATTCATGGAACTGCCCTAACATTTTCAGAACCTACCCGCAGTTCACGTAACTTATTTATAGGTCATTAAGCTTAAAAGCTGTCGAAACGTACTCTTAAAGACCTTTTAACTTCCCCACATTTCTATGAATCAGAACTTCTTAAAGGTTTCAAAATTTTTTGATACACTCACAAGCTAAAATATGTAATCTAGTAATCTAGATGGGCATCTGAAAATGCCTTTATGCATTTTGGTGCGCAACTTTCATAAGAGGAGCATACGAAGATCAATATTTCGATCATTTTTATGAATTGATCACTTTTATGGATGTTCGGGATCGCCCAGAGGAGAGTTTCGTGACCACCAGTGTGCGCATGTTGGCCCCAGATTCAAATGAATTCATGTAGCATCACCACAAGTGATTTAAAAAAAAAAACAATCACTGGGCTATTCGGATCTTCCGGAGGACCGTTTCTTGAGTACCTGGGTCTGTAGTTGGATCTTAACCTTCATTCTTCAGTCTTCGTGGTTAGGTATATCAATGTTGTCGAAAAAAAAAAAAACAATAACGAAACTCTGTGATCAATTTCAGTTCGAAGTTCCACGACAAGTTTAGCAACTATCGGTGCGAAAGCCGAAAACGTAAATTCACAATCGTGATAGCAACGACCGGTGCGTAAACAAGTTGCTAACTAAAATAGCAATGGCTAAAGTTGTCAAACTAGCAACCCGAATAGCAACGCATATTGTGGGGTATTTGACAGTTTTTCTTGAACCGATGGCCTCCATCTTGGATTCCAAAATTACGTCTGGCATCGATTTCCGGCCTCTTCACGTCGTTCCCTTTCCGAAAATACCCATATTGTAGCGTATTTGACAGTTTTTCTTGAACGGATGGCCGCCATCTTGGATTTCTAAATTTCCAGCCTCTACACGTCGTTTCCTTTCCGAAAATACCCATATTGTAGGATATTTGACAGTTTTTCTTGAATCGATGACCTTGGATTTTAAAATGGCGTCCGAAATCGATTTACAGCCTCTCTACACGTCATCCTTATTCCGTTTCGTGTCCTCAAATTGCCCATCAACATCCTATATGGACAAGCTTTTCAGAAATAACATATTAAGGAAGTTCATGTGCACACTAGCGCCGCGTAGTGAGAGAGTTCTTAATAATATGACCACCATCCGAAAGGACTTGGTGACCTGAACAACTTTGCTGAAGACAGCAACGTTCTATATAGCCAGGTTATCGAGATACAGTTTATATAGAAAGGTCACATGCACACTAAAGGGTGTCCACGATGAAATTGCCACACTATGAAATTGCTCTAACTTTTTAACTGTTGGGTAGAATTTAATGAAAATTTGGGTGGATTTAGTTCATAGTGCATTATTTACATCCTGCAAGTTTTAAAGTCCTGTGATCAAAACTCGCGGAAATGGAGTCGAAAGAACAGCTCGTGCGTGATAAAATCTTGCGCATTCATCACGAGAACAAGGATCTCTCGCATCGTTCCATCGCTAAAACGTTGGGAATCGTGAATTCCACGGTGTCGCGAGTGATTAAGCGGTTCGAGGAACGGTTGACCACCGATCGGAAGCCCAGAAGTGAAGGAAAAAGTATTCCGTACAACACCAAAAATCACAACCGCGTAGTTGGGGCCTTCAACCAAAATCCGAACGCCTCCGTTAGGGATGTGGCTAAGACGCTGCACCTAAGCCGAAGTTTTGTCCAGAAGGCCAAAACTAAGGCTGGGCTTCGAACGTTCAAGGTACAAAAGGCCCCTAATCGCGACGAGAAGCAGAACAAGTCCGCCAAAACCCGTGCCAGGAAGTTGTACCTCAACATGCTGACAAAAGTTGAATGCTGCATCATGGACGACGAAACATATGTGAAGGCCGACTTCAAACAGATCCCCGGCAACCTGTTTTTCACGGCCAAGGATAAGTTCAGCGTTCCGGAGCATGTCCGCACTCAGAAGATGTCCAAATTTGCGAAGAAATTCCTGGTTTGGTAAGCCATCTGCACGTGCGGGAAGCGGAGTGCACCTTTCGTGACCCAGGACACGATGAACGGACAGGTGTACATAAAAGAGTGCCTCCAGAAGCGGCTGCTTCGTCTCCTGAAGGCCCACAACGTCCCAACAATCTTCTGGCCGGATTTGGCCTCATGCCACTACTCCAAGGACGTGCTGAAGTGGTATGCGGACAAAAAGGTCAATTTCGTGCCGAAAATGTTCAACCCTCCCAACACTCCGGAGCTCCGCCCCATCGAGAAGTACTGGGCGATTATGAAGCAGCACCTTCTTAAACGACCTAAGGTAGTGAAGACAGTCGAGGAACTGAAGAAAGTATGGGTTTACATGCAAAAAACGGTTGATTCACAGGTTGTGCAGAATCTTATGGCCGGGGTTAAGGCCAAGGTGCGGGCATTTGCGTATGAACTGTAAATAAAATACGAGTAAAATGGTAAAATGAATTTTAATAGTTATTTCTCAATCCCTGAAAATTTGATGGCAATCGGATGAAAACTCGAATTTTGCGAATCAATTTTGTGTGTGGCAATTTAATCGTGGTTACTCTTTAGAACTGCGTAGTGAGAGAGTTATGAACTAATATGGCCACCATTCGAAAGGACCTGGTCATTTGAACAAGTTTGCTCAAGACCGTAACTTTCTATATGGCCAGAATCACGAAATATCCTATGTTGGACTTATGATCCATATATTATAGCGCCCGTCATAAGTAACATACAAGTGAAGCGCCTCTAGCGGCGTAGTTTCCAATTAAACCTGAATCCAATGACACAGGCTTGTTGGTCTATCCCAGTACAACAACTCGAAGACAGTATAGCTCTATATATTGAAACAAATGAGATAATCCACCACAGTCCCTATTAGTGAAAATCCCATAAGCTGTGGGTATCCTTATTTGCGGTTCCTTATTCACGCCCCCGTTACTCTGGCAATAAGGATTCCTGACTGTATCTGTTCTTGTTTCACTGGAATACTGTTGATTACATTTGATCACCGTGTCCAAACAGGGTCCATTTATAAGCGCATTTTCGACGAAAATGACCCGGAGATTAAAAACCACATCTGCTTCAGACAGTTGAAATAGAAAACTGGAATTACATAAATCAGAGAGAGAAAAAATCGTAAATTTCTTATCCGAAAGCGTGTAAACCGTGCAAATCTCCAGTAGCGTAAACCTTCTTTTGAGCCAGCTCACGATGTCGGTTAAAAATGAACCGCAAACACTTTTTTCCCCATCTCATAGACAAGGTCACAATCATCTCCCGTAGCAATCTTCGATCTCGCCTCACTTCTGTCTTATTTTCTCTATTTCACAGATTGCAACCGTCTGATTCTGTCAGCGGCGTCGTCAAATTGACCATCATCAAGCCGTGGAAGACTACATGCAGTGTGCGGTTTTTGCCCAACTGGACGTCTAATTAGTGCCAGACTTTCTTCAGTCATGGAAAATTGCCGAAAAGGTGAAAACGAATTGATGAAGGTGCAAAAAATGGGTTTTTCTGAGTTAAGTAAAACTGAATTCGGGTTTCAATAACGCGATCGCGAGTGAAACGGATTGTTATACGCACTAAGTGATTGAACCACAACGGGCAGTGAATTGATTTTCGTGTAGTGTAATTTTTCGAAATAGTCGGCAAAGTGTTATTATAAACCTAGATCAGCACCATGGATATGACATCGGCAGCGGAGGCACGTAGCTGGTACGACAACCAGCGTCTCGGTGGCTCTCCCGGGACATCGGCTGCCGTTCTGGGACACCAATCGGCAGCAGCAGCGGCAGCCGCAGCCGCCATGGATCCTTCGGAAATGAATCCGTTCTATCCGCTCGAGAATGGTTCGCATCGGCGGTACTACCCCAGCAGCTATGGACCACACGGTAAGTGCTGTCGGAATAAGGGAGGGAAGGGGCGCATTTCCTGCTAACAAGTTTTCTCAGGTGACCACTTTGTGGCGGTGGAATCTGGTTGTTTTCCAGCATTCATCATTTTTTCAATTACATAAAGAAATAATTATCGATAATTACCGACTCGAGTGCCGCATCCAATGATGGCCACGATGCGTAGCGGTGGGGAGGAACGGATGGAGACGGACAGGGTGCATCACTTTTCCCATCGTTGCACTTGCACTGCGATAGCAACTGCTAGTCGAGACGGGCGGGCGGGAGCCGTTGTCGAGGGTTGTAACTGGGAAGGAAAAACAATTGAGATTTTCATCAAGAACGCGCAGCAAGATAGCAATTAGCATAAGCAACGCGCCCTCCGATGATGTTGTTGATGATGATGATGATAATGATGATGATGTTGATGGCACGACGTTGGTGACGACGATGCAGCACCGTCTTCTTCATTCGTGAAATAAACTGCACATGCACTAAGAATAATGCATTTTTTGTGTGTTCTTAGTGCATTGTTCTGGAGCCTCTAAGTGCATCAGGGGTGTAGTTGAAGGAAAAAAAAAGTGAACGAACGACGCCATCGGAGTAGGTAAATTTAATTACTTTATCATTGAAGGGTTGAAAAGCTGATGATACTGACAATGCACGGAAGGGAAACTCGCTGTGTGTGAAAATAAGTGCTGCTTTGTTGAGCAGAGGAAACGAATCGACCATAAATCATATAAAACACCCTTTGCGTAACTGGGGAATCAAGTGTAAATACTTAATAATTAGAATGCAGATTTTGTTGGGAGGAAGTTGCGTGGCATTTAGCTATCATCTGGTTGAATCATTTATCCAGTGAAGATAGTAGCAAGTGTTGACATTTTCACGATTATGATCCAAAGCTTGCTCACTAGCAACACAAACTAGATATTCATGACTTGAAGTGCACGACGAAAATTATTGTTTATGAGTAGTTTAAGCCTTTTTATACAAGCTTTGAGGATTTCAGCTCCATTATACTTTGAACAATGTTTCTTAATACTGAAGTAAACAAAATAAGGCACTGAATACTGACGAACAACTCGACTACAATCTATTAACAGGTAGTTAGAGGATCTAGGAAAAGGTGCCCAAATATGCCATTGGAATAATTATTTATCTCCATCGCCGTTGTATCAACCGGTGGAAACAAACGATTTTAAATTGGCTCACTACTTGATTAGCCTATTGGTCCCAAGCAAATCGATTAACGTACCAAATTCTAGTCGAAATTCTAGTACTACACTTTGTTTGTTTTGATTCGCTATGAACGTTTGACAGAGAAAATGGGGGGTTCGTGGATTTTCCTATGTTTCGAGGGGTGCATCGATTAGCTTGGGACCGAAGAGAGTATCAGAGCTGAGCCAAAAAGTTGAGTACGTTTCTTCGGGACCTTCTGGTCTTAGAGTTACCTCTATGGTTGTATTGCTTTTTTCGACTAGTGTATTGACCCTAACTTAGGTATAATATTTAGCCTTCAATTACGTTTTATGCCGTATCTTATGTAATAAAGGCTGACTAAATGTAAATTGGTAAGCCCCTTGCGCGCCACTAGCACGCCTCTAATGTTGAGAATCGAAAATCTTTGACAGTGGTTTATTTACACTCCTATAAAGAACAACTGGTGCAAGTTGGATCAAAGTAGTCGATCGCGATCAGAAATAACGTCAAAATCCGGAAGTGGTCCAGTTCCAGGCTAAAGTGCTGAAGATGCCGAAAACAACAGTTTGTCGAGTGCTCAAACTCTACAAGGAAACCCTGAGTGTGGAAAGGAATCAGCGGACCTACGAAAAAACTGGAACCAGGGATCGTCAGCTACGCTCAAGGTGTTGAGGTGCGTTGAAGAAAAACCCCGGTCTTTCGAACCGAGATGTGGCCAGAAAATACAACGCTAACTCTGAAACAGTGCGGAACATCCTTGCCAGAGAAAGATACAAGTCGTACAAAGCCAGTAAACATCCGAACCGGCACACGAAGCAGAATTTCGTGGCCAAAAAGCGTGCAAGGCTCTTGTACGACCGTGTTTTGACGAAACACAAGGGCTGAACTTTGATCGATGACGAATCATATGTCAAACTCGATTTTAAGCAGCTTCCCGGTCAAAAGTTTTACATCGTGACTGGACGTGGGGATGTGCCGGGAAGATTCAAGTTCGTGTTTGTCTTAAGTTCGCGAAGAAGGCCATGATTTGGCAAGCGATTTGAAGTTGTGGCCTGAAAACGCAACCATTCGTCACATCCTCGTCGATGCCATCCCAGATGCCTGAAAAAGCGTGTAATGCCGTTCATCCGCAAGCATAGGGTCAAAGTCATCTTTTGGCCCAATGTCCAGCTGCCACTACTTCAAGGTGGTTCTGGAGTGGTATGCTGCCAACAAGATTGATTTTGTCCCGGAGTTTCGACCAATCGAAAAATACTGACCAATTTCAACGCAGCGACTTCGACAAAGCGGCGGGGAAGTCAAGGACATCCAGCAAATGCGGGTCCACCCCAAACGACGTCCGTGGCTAGACCAGAGGTCAGGGGAACCCTTAGACTAGCCCTTCTGGCCCGTCAGTAACAGGTGGTATTTATTTAGCGTGGTGTGCGGCGAATTGTGTTCATTTTGTGTGTCCTACAAACAAGCTGTTTGGCGTTACCGGCACTTGCGCGAATCGGAAAGGGTAACGGCTGAATAAACAGCGGCCTCGTTAGTGGTTATGCTGTACTAGGGGCTTGAACTCACCATGCGCATGGGAATTTAGTGAACATGCATGTTACTTACAGCTTGACTCGCTACTTTCGTGGAGGGATTGGCAGTTGCTCGATGACGTGTACCACATGCGGTTACTCCTACGGACTCCGAAACGGTGCTATTGCGAACTGTACATAGTCGATGTCGTTTTCCAACGATGCCTGAAACGTTGATTCGTGGTCTTCTACCTAGCCAGGGTACGGCCGTCACGGTCACCGTCGACGGGAAAATGCGGAAAGTGGTTGCCGCTGAAGATAGAGGTTACCGGTTCGAAACCAGTGGTGCTGCTCACTCTGCCTAGGGCGCGGGAAAACTTTTTTGCTACCCTTTTCCGGCCTTGGTATCACCGGGTGTCCTTCGAAGCTGGAAAATGGGGTCGAAAGCGGTCGCTGACTGATGTGGGTGGTGTGACAGGTTTTGCAACGTGTCACAAATCTGTCAACGAGAAAATGCCATTGCGTGGCATTCGTTTTCTGCACACTGAACACACTTATGCACAATAAATTACCATACTTCTAAACACATTCACACACTCATAACCACCGAACTGAAACACTAAGCATTGACTAGCTTTATAAAACGAACGAACTAATCGAGGGAATTTAGAAAGAGAATCTAGATTAACAAACTAAAGGAATTTTTACGTTTTCTAACATCACCTGTTATTTCACACCACGGCGCGGTAGCTAACTTAAACGCTGTCTAGACTGAGCAGTTATAACATGTTATAAGGGTTGTCAAATAATTGCAACACAGAAATCACCATCAATATAGCGCTATAGCATGTTATAACTCTGCAGTCTGAACGTACAATTGGACCGCCCTCGCCTCTTCCACAGACCAGAACGAAGTGAAAGAGTCAAATCTAAAGATCCTCAGATTAGGCGCAAGAATTGTAATCTTCGTCGTTGGAAATTACGTAAATTAACGAAGTTCAAAAAATCGCCTTCACGCATACTAGTTTTCTTCTTCTTCTAAATACAATGGAAAGCATTCCCTTTCCCTCAAGTGAACGCGTATGCCAATTAACTACCCACCTGAAGTGCATGAAAGGATGGGACGGGTCAACAAATCCTGAAAGCATTTGTTTACGCGTGGTGTGCCTAGACTCTACGTATGACTATCGAATTACGCAGAACTCATTTACCATCTAATGAACATTTGGGCGAGTGAACTGTTTGAGAACGCTTCATGCGTAAAATCTAAACAATTCGATGGAGTTTCAAACATTTCAATTCATGTACAACTTTTTTATATTTTTTTTATTTTAAATACATGGCAACTGCCACAAACTTCCTTTAAATTCTTTTAATTTAAATACTCAGATCTTCCTGAAGATTCTCGCCTTTTTTCTGATATTAATGAAAATATCATAAAGTTATCAAGACTTTCCTAATGTTCTTGGAACTTCATTTAAGTTCCTGAAATTTATTTGTCCTTCGCGGGACTATTTACTGCGTTGAAGTTTTTTGGACTTAGTTTTTGAAAAATCTGCAACTATTAGGTATCAAGTTAATTGAACGGACCTAAAGTTTTCAGAATTTACCTGAAATTTTTGGAACTTGCCTCAAGTTGCCATGATTCTCAGGATGCTCGTGGAATTTCCATAACATTCTCAGATCTATCCCGAAGTTCTCCAAACTTTTCTGAAAATTTATTAACTTAGCAAGTAATTGCATCTAAGTTTAATGATCATTTTGTACGAAATAAAACAGCCAGTTAATAGTAGTTGTAGATTTGAAGTTTTTCACCCAATTACATTAGATGAACTTAGAGCTATTTGTTTTTCATAAGGTTAATCGGCTGAAGTAGATAATGTTAATGCTAGAGTTATTCAAGATCGCTTTCATGTCATTGGCCACATCTTGCTGGACCTTATTAATGAATCATTACAAACTGGACATGTGCCACAAATTTGGAAGGATTCCTTAGTGGTCCCTATTCAAAAAGTTGCTGGAACGATTAAAGCCGAAGAGTTTCGTCCCATCAACATGTTGCACACATTAGAGAAAATGTTAGAACTTGTTGTTAAAGGCCAGCTGTTGGAGTATTACAATTTTAATAGTTTGTTGATACCAGAACAATCGGGATATCGGGAAAGTCATTCTTGTGAAACGCGCTTAAACGCGCTTTTGAAACAATTTCTAGGCCCTTATTGTTAAGATCAATCAAGCGCTTTGGAATCACGAGTACTGCATATAAATGGTTTGAAAGCTTTTTGTCTG